GTACCGGTCAGTGGACCGATTGTGTAGCCCGGCAGACTTGCTTGTCGAATCGGGCTCGCCTGATCAAGGGGACTCAAATCCGGGTCGAGATTCGAGGCAGTCCAGGCGCCGGATGAGACGAAGAGGCGAGGATCGAGCAGACGAAGCCGTTTGTCACGGCAACTAGTTGATAACAGCCTACCGTCAGGAGACCAAGCCAAGCCAACAATGTGGTCCGGATGTAGGCCCCAGCAGGGCTCGGACAGTGGGCCGCAGATTGGCCGAGCCATAGAGGCGTCCCACAAGATCAGCTTCAGAGGTGGAGCAAAGGAAAAATGCTAAACCAAGTGAGCAAAAATTTATCACAAATTTAATTGAATATCATCCCCGAATCTCTGAAAAACTTCTTGGACGAGCTGCTTGCTTGCTTGCTTCGAGCCTAGATAAATTTGGAATGAAAGTTACACGAAATATACAAAATGCTGGTTTGAGGCTCAAAAACCGAAAGCAATGTGTTCTTGAGCTCCATTATACAGCCTTACAATCTACCGAGCACTCCAGTACGAACAATTGAAACAAGAAAGTCCAGGGATCCGTGAAATGGTCATTAAAACAATCGAGGAAGAGCCAACCCAGATGGACTAGATTTCCGTACTAAGCCCCTGTCACGTTCGTAAATCACACAAGTGTGTATGTGTGTTGAATATTAGTTAACCAATATCTTTGCAACTCTACCAAACATTTTAGATGAAGAATTAGATGGCTATTAAATTTTGTTGTAATAGTAATAGTATGTGTTTAGATGTCGGAATTTACCTGAGATATTGTGCTGTCACACAAAGTTCCAAAATGCTGAGAACACATTTTTAGGATGCTTCCCAGCTCAGCTGACCTATCTCCGCGTTTAAATTTGTCCATATAACATGTAAAGTCAAGAATAGCATTATCATTATAATGAAGGCTTCAGAAAGATTTTCCTAATTTTCATGAATATTTATAACTACGTTACTTTTGCTGCTCTTAAGTCCTCTCCATCCATTCATAACGGTCATAGAAACGTGCATCGAAATATTAGACTAAATGAGTTTGAGTTGATTTGAAAAGTTAGAAGCGGTCATGGCTATAGTAGGCTTAATGTTGTCTTTCGCTTAGCGCCGGCCATATCTTGCATACACAAAATTTTGTAACTTATTTGACAAGGGAAGAAAGGATTCTTTACTATTGGCATTTTTCCACAATTCGCTCGAGGTCGCCTCATATTCAGTCAACTACAAGGAACCCCACATCTAAAAGTAGACAGTTGAAAGGCTCATTTAGATCATATTTGCCAGCATCTAACTTCATTTTAAATATTGGATAATGGCAGTCAATAGACGGTTGGACAGTTCGTGGATAAGCCTAAGATCCAAGTCCCGCTGCGTTTAAGTCGTTATCTGGAGGAAATTAGGTAGTTGCAGATAAAAGGAAGAAGCTTCAGTTGCAAGCAATCGGCTGAAACATATTGTCAGCTTGCCTGTCTGTCATAGCCGGCAGTGGCCAACAGTCCCGCCGTCCACGGATGCCAAGCGTGATGGACGACTCGTTTTCTGTGACCACCCTGCTGGGGACCCAACTCCTGCACGAGGATCCGGCTCAAATCGGCCTCCAACGCTGACGAAGAGGAAGAAGACGACAGCGCCACAGCTGAAGCCGCCGACGATGATGACGCTGTTTCTGCGGGCCCAGAAGCGATGGCCGAGGGGTCGTCACGGCGAGTGACTCGACGGGAGCCGTGGTGCTCCGGTAGAAGAAAAGCAAGCAAATGCGCCAGAGCATCATCACTGGAGTAGTTGATGTTCGGCATTCTCCAAAGCCGCACCTGAATTTAACCGCGTCAAAAAGAGCTTGAAGTAATTGCACGAGGACATCCCACATCATAAAGTAAAACATTCGCAAAGTAGCCTACTTTCTAGAAGCATACTGCTATAATCGAAATATCTAATTGAAATGAATATATTATTTTGAGAGAATAACCTTTTTGGTAGTCCATTACATTTTTCAAGAAAATGTCGAAAA